CAGCACTGTGGCTCAAGTGCTAGAGTGCTGTCCTTGAACAAAATAAGGTCAGGAATAGTGCCCAGGCCCTAAGTTTATGCCACAGCACTGGCAAAAAGTAAATAAATAAGGAAATGTGATGCTTCTCAGGAGGCTGAGATCTTAGGATCCTGGTTCAAAGCCAGCCAGAGCAAGAAAGTCTGTGAGGTTCTTATCTCCAACTAACCACTTAAAAACCAGAAGTGGAGCTGTGGCTCAAAATGGTAGAGCACTAGCTTTGAGCAAAGAAGCTCTGGGACAGCACCCAAGCCCTAGGACCAGCACAAAAAATAATAAATAAATAAGGAAACTGGGGCTCACAGAGGGTACGTTCATTTGCCAAGACTCTGCAGCTGGCTGGTGTTCAACCCCAGTCATAAGACCTCTAACGTTCAGTATTCCCAGACAAGTAAATAAGGTATTATTTGGAAGTGGCCAGTAAATACTTGTATTTAATGCTCTAAGAAGGACATCAACTACTTCTAGGGAAAGCTGAGGCCAATGGCTTGAATGTCCTCTGTGCTAAGACAGAAGCAGGGAGGAGATGCTCACAATTTTGGAGAGAGAGAGAGAGAGAGAGAGAGAGAGAGAGAGAGAAAGCGAAGGAGGGAAAAGGAAAAGAGAGAGGGAAATGGAAAGAGAAAAGAAAAAAGGAGGGAAAGGAAAGAGAGAAAACAAAAATCTTAGAAGCAATCAGCTAAAAGTACTGACATGACAACTCAGCCACTGGCTGACACTGCCATCTTCTGTTAGCAAGAGGTAACTACATTTGCCCTCAAGGTCAGGATTTATCTTCCCTTGTTAAGTTGACTCAGAGTGAGGGCCTGCCTGCCTGTTGTCTGACTCTCATAATATATAGTTAAGGAATCAACAGGGAAAATGAGGCCAAGAATTGAACATGAAGAAAAGTAAATGAGAAGAGAAGCAAAGACAAAAGCAAAGCAGGGAAGTGGGTTTTTTCTGTGAAGACTACATCAACTTACATATTCAGATGTGACTCTCCTTTGCCACCAACCTATTTTATCGATCTGCTATGTCAAAGGCTTGCTTTGTTTGTTTGTTGTGGTTTTCCATTATTTTGAAAGAACAAGATTTTTTTGTTTATATCGATTATCTGTCTTACCTTTTTTTGTTGTTGTTCGTCGTGGGACTTGAACTCAGGGCCTGGGCACTGTCCCTGAGCCTCTTTAGCTCAAGGCTAGCACTCTACCACTCAAGCTACAGTGCCACTTCCGGCTTTTTTCTGTTTATTTGATGGTGAGGAATCGAACCCAGGGCCTCATGCATGCAAGGCAAGTACTCTACCACTGAGCCAACTTCCCGGCCCCTGTCTTACCTCTTTTGTTTGTTTTCTGTTTCTCTTATTTCTGCTCTTTCTCTCATTCATTCTCTCCTACTTGCTTTGGAATTCTAGTTTTCATACAGATGTCATGTGATTTTAATTCATAGAATTTCAGATCTTCAAGGAAATCTGGATCTACTTTCTCATGTTTCAGAAGAACTGTGAGAGACAGGAAATTTGCCATATATCCCACAGATGGTCCCAGGCTTCCCCAGTCAGATTCATCACTTTCTCTATGTATACCATGATGTTCTCCTCCTCCTGTTGTATTCTTTCTTCCCTTTCCTTTTCTGCTTCCCTTCACTTAGCACAGAAAAAGATGCGATTGTTGGATTGAGCCAAACACTGGTGGCTCACGCCTGTAATCCTAGTTACTAACAAGGCTGAAATTTGAAGGTCACGGTTCAAAGCCAGCCTGAGTAGGAAAGTTATCTTATCTCCAAATTAAATAGCAAAAAGCTGAAAATGGAGGTATGGTTCAAGTTCAAGCATCAGCCTTGAGCAATGAAAACACAAGCAAGAGCACTGAGTCCTGAGTTCATGCCCCAGGCACAACCACCAAGAAAAGGACTTTGCAAGTGCTCACAATTCATTCCTTCTTCTCTTAAGATCATGCAACAAATCAAGCTCTCTCTCTCTCTCTCTCTCTCTCACACACACACACACACACACACACACACACACACACTATGCACAGGGTATTCAGTTAAGTCTGTAACATATTGACAAACACAGCAATACTCAAGGAGTTTCTCCAGCCAGGTGGTAGTGGCTCACACCAGTGCCTGTCATCCTAGCTACTCAGGAGGCTGAGATCCGAGGATTATGGTTCAAAGCCAGCCCAGGCAGGAAAATCTATGAGACTCTTATCTTTAATTAACTGCCAGAAAACTGGAAGTGGTGCTGTGGCTTAAAGTGATAAAGCAATAATCTTGAGCAAAAAACGCTAAGGAACAGCACCCAGGCCCAGAGTTCAAGCCCTACAACAGAAAGAAAGAAAGCAAGAGAGAACGAAAGAGGGAGGGAGGGAAGGAAGGAAGGCAGGAAAGAGGGAGAGAGGGAGGGAAGGAGATAGGGAGGGAAGGAAGGAGGGGGAGGGAGAGAAAGGAAAGAAGAAAACAGTATCTCCCAAACCACTTCTTTCTTGATATTTTAATTTTTATTGTTATTATAAAGGTGCAGAGGGGTTACAGTTAGTAAGCCAGGCAATGAGTCCATTTCTTTTTGGACAATGTCACCCTTTCCCTCACTCTCTCCCAGTCCCAGTTGTTCCCTCCCATCCCCATCCACAAGTTGTAGAGTTCATTTTCAACACATAGCACATAATTTTGAAAATATTCCTCAGGACGCATGAAGGGATCGGGTATCCTGGACTACAGCAATCGTTCTAAAGGCCATGCTGAGCTTTGCTTCTAAAATCGCACTCATTTAGACATAGAAAGTAGAGAATGGTTGGTGTGTGAAGATGATTGCACACCAGGAAGAACTTAGGGACACAGACATAAATCCTTGATGAAGGGTAACTGTTCATTGTCTAAAAAGTAGGAGAGAAAAGGTGTCCTCACCAATATAAAGGCTGTAGCACTGACATCTAACTGATAGGAAATGAGGCACGTTAGCTACAGAGAAAGAATGGCAGAACTAACGCTTTCTACTCTCATCTGCAAGGACTTTTCTGGCCAATGGTTGCTTGACACAAGCAATGCCATTTTACGGACAATCATCATCTCCTAAATTGTTATACAACCCAAATTGTCTATGTCTTTTTACCTTCAATCTCATGAAATCCTACTGTTGAGCCACATCCTGTCATAAACAAGGAGGTTGTTCTGTTCTGGGGGTGATTGAGTGGATAAATCCTACACTAAGCCAATCACGCAGGGCTGTGAACTTAAGTTCCCATGCAATTGGAATTGGGGGTAGTGATGCCTTCCAGATAAAACTTGGGCTGACAGCCTGCCCTGTGTGCTCGCTAATCTTCCCACCCTTCTGCAAAAATAAAATCTGCCTTGCCGAGTCCTTGCTGAGTCTCAGGCCTCATTCTGGAACGACAGCAGATCTTGAGATTCACGTCCATCAAGTTCTAGGAGGCATCCATGACTCTTCTCCCTAGTATTTCCCTGGGTCCAGCAGCCGCCACCAGCGTTCAGTCAGGCCTTCTCCCGAAGGGCAGAGAAGCACTGCACATGTTCTGACCAAACTGAGTGCCTTTGCAGTGGAACTTAGCCAGACCTGTGCACAACCTGGCTTCATGAATATATGTTGCATCTCATGCGTGTACTTGAAATCATGGGATGGAAGCTTTGTCTGTGCGCACGTCCCCTCCAGAAACCTGCCAATCATCTTCTTCGATCTGCCCACTCTCATGACCATGAGCACCCCAAATCCAATAACTGAGATCCTTAACCACGTGCTTGGTCTGAAGGCATCCAGCCCACGTCCTTAAGGGTGTACATGTTTTGCATTTCTTACTCTCTTCACACTGTGTGTGTGTGTGTGTGTGTGTTCATTCAATTGATTGTGATGCTAAAAATCTAGCATCTTCCCTTGGGAGATGACCCACTAGTAACAGCAATGCTGGGACAGAAGAAAGCTGACAACTCAGACCAACCATTCAGCCCTAGAGACTCCAGCCTCGCTCTGAGCTCCCATGCTACAGGCAGAAAGCCTGAGGCGAACACCTCTGTTCTCTCTAAAAGGAGGATCAACACTAACTTTGAAGCCCAAAACAAGGTTGAATGAGAACAGGTCCAGGCAACTCGACCATACAGCACCATTTTTTGTAACATCTCTCTAAAGCAAACTAAATTTAGGTTGCTAGCAGATGGACTAACCTGAGCTAGTGAGGATGTTGAAGCAAGACTAAAGGACAAAATTCAGAACAGTGGTTGTAATCCAGGTGAATGATGGTGTGACAGGGGTTGTGTTTGGCTAAGGGGAGATGGGCAGACTCTATAAAAAGCATTCTGCTTCAGGGGTGCCTTCAGGGGTGTTCATATGCAGGCCATACTTTTATATACCACTCTTACTGTGGAATATTTGATACAAAGGATATTAATTTAAGTAATATAATGTAATATGCATATATTTATGATGAAAGAAGATTTTCAGCCAGGTGCCAGTGACTCACACCTGTAAATCCTATTTCCTTGACAGGCAGGGATCGGGAGGATTGCAGTTCAAGGTCCGCCTGGGCAAAATGTTAGCGACTCCATCTCCATAGAGAAAGTTGCATGTAGTGGTGCATGTCTGTCATCCCGGCTACAAAAGCATAAATAGGAGGACTGAGGTCCAGGACTCTCCAAACAAAACAAAACAAACGCAAACACAAAGCCGAGGCTCCATGTTAAAAATTAACTAGTTGACAATAGGCTGGGGCTTTACTCAAGCCGACTTAGGGAGGAGCCCTCTAGGTGCACCTGCCGAGGCCGCCGTCCCGCTGTCCCGCTGTCCCGCCCGCGGCCACCAGGCGGCACCCTGGTCACCCCTGGGGTCGTGACCTGCGAGGTCATGGGCCAGAGTCTGCTATGTCCTCCTCCTAGAAACACCAAGCCAGAAGTCGCCAGCA